CATGACTGTCCAGCCTCAGGGAAAATGTCTTGGTGGTCCCCTACAACACTGATTAACTTCCGATATCAGACGAAATAGGGTATTCTCGTGGTGGGATGGCCATGGGTAGAACATGTTGCTGCCCAGCACAATCAGCAGGCAGATTTCAAGGGTAATCAAAGGCCATCCAAAACCTTTAGAACTCTCAAATGCTGCTGTAAATAGGCTGGTAGGGGAGCAGGAGGGGTAAGGGAATGCCTCCTTAATAGGTTGACCCCCCGAGGAGAAAAAAAAAACATATACAATGGCTAAGAAATTTCATTATGTACCTCCCAAAATATAGAGGTGATGACCATGCTGGGAACACACAGCTGACCAGCTTCATGATCAATGAATCTATTGTATTACAAGTCATTACTATGAAGTTCAGTGAAACAATAATCTTAGCCCCGGCCCCCCAGCCGATGAACACTAGAACAGCAAATAGTAGCTGTAAGTAAGGTACGACATGCTGAAACTCTGAGATCAAGCGTAACAACTCCGAGAGCCAATAAATCAGCATTGTGACAAGTGACTATTAATCCGAAACAACAAACGCTTATCACAGATATGATTAGACACACTCTAGTCAGATCTATTGTTATTTCATCCTTTCATGCCCCACGTTGGGCGCCACAAGAAACTGTCGTGGTTTAAATCCAGCCAGTAACTCAGAACCACGCAGCCCCTTGCTCACTCCCTCACTTCTTCCTCGCCCCACTCCCAGAGGGATGGGGAGCAGAATCAAAAGAATGTAATTCCCATGGGTTGAGATAAGAACAGTCCAGTAACTAAGGTATAATACAAAACCACTACTGCTACCAATAATAACAACAATAAGGGAAACAAGGAGAGAGGATAAATTGCTCACAAAAACGTCGGTGTTATCAGCGTTGTTCCCAGGCTGAAAGTCAAAAACACAGCACTGCACCAGCTACTAAGAAGGAGAAAAAATGACTGCTGTAGCTGAACCCAGGACATCAGCAGAACAGAATTCCAGATTAGCAACTGCAACTTCTCTTCCCAGAATACAAAGAGACTGCCTGTGATTACAGCAATAAGAGCCAGAGAGAGGTCGTAAATTTGTCTCTAGTCTAAAAGCCAAATGAAATGGAAAATAGACTGCCAAGTACTGAAAAGTTAATGAACCGAGAGCAACATCCACAATTTTCCTAGATCTGCAGAGATTGTACAGGACTTCTGTTGTCAGTCAAGGCAAGGAAGAGGATATGGGGCAATTCATTTCCCATGCTTGGGACAACATGACACTCTGAAACTGAGCAAGTTCCTAAGACACTGAAACAGTAAAACTTTCAACCTTAATGGTTAGATCCAAACCAATTGTGAGCATCCAAAGAAAATTGTGTGCAGAATGGCTTTGAGCAGTACATGCATTTCTACAATTAAGACATTAGAGGTCTGATTTACAAACATAAAGCTTTATTTATTAAAAGCAAAGTGCTGAGATATATTTAATAATGCTGCATAGTTACAAGGCAAAGCACTATCGTGTTCATTATTTTTAGCCATCTAATTCTCACCATGGAACTGAAAACAGAGGAGCCTGTAAGCTCTTCACAGTGGCAAAACAAAGAAAAAAATGCTTACTGAGCATGGAGCCTTCTCAAAATAGCAAATAAAAAGTGTTAAAAAGTATAGCACTGAAGCACCATTTCACTTTCTGGACCTTTGAGCCAAGTGCAGGACTGTGAAGAGTTACCTTGTCTACCTAAGAAGTCAAAGTTTCTCTTCAAGGTAATTGTCAGGTAACAGTCATCGTAACAGTGGCAACTATCTGTTATATAGAATACTGCTTACAGCACTCACTGAGGAAGAAGATGCAGTTCTCCCCTCCCTGGAGAGTATCCCAAATGTCAGTCTGTCTCAATTAGATATCATTATCCTATCTCCCTGCGGGAAAGAAGTGGGGAAAAAAAACAAAACAAAAAAACAAAAAACAAAACAAAAAAACCCACAAAAAACAAAAAACACAACACACAAACAACCACACACTGAAGAATTCACAAGGTCAAAAAAGTCATATTCCTGAATGTATATATGGAAAGTGTTCAGAGTGTGCTGTGAATGACAGATTTTAAAAGCAAAGAAAGATTTTTAAGCAAAAGACCAAAAGCAAGGAGATTACATAGCTTCATAGATCAGAAAAGAAGTTTGGTTTTTGCACCTCTCTCCAGGTTTGACAGTATAAACTAAGAAAATACACATAACGAACTATCCCTAGCTGGTTTCCAATAGTGTGTGCATCTTCCAAAGACACTTTGATAATCCAATTCCTTGTAACGTCTCTAAGGAACTAGCAGTTTCTATATGATGTGTTTACAGGGAATGAAAAGGCAACATATCAAACCATATCTGAATATTTAATTGCAATGTATCAGACCTTAAGACATCGATGTTTCTTCTCAAAATACACAGCATGATCTAATAGGTCATTTCAACCACAGCTTTGGTATGAAAATGTTTTGAGGCAAAAGATTTAAAACTATAAAAGTTAATGTTCTGGAATTTTTGCAACTGTAGTACTTGTTTTTTATTAACAAAATGTAGTTATATGTAAGATGATTTGAAGTGTAATAAATCATTGCAGACAATACTGATATTTCTGAGAAGGGTCAGGTAAGAGAGACAGATAATTTGTCTTTGAAAGAGGGAAAGGGGGCCTTTACATTACCATTGATATTCACAAAACTGAAAATGACATATTACTAGAGATTTCAGTTGTGGAAACCAGTTAGTTATGACAATATGAACATAAGTATTCTTGGGAATTAGAAAGTAAATCTTTAGTGCCTGTAAGTAATGCAATAAATTTGATAGGAAGTGAGGGGTGATGTCTGGGGAACTGAATCAAACCAGTTCTCAAATATCCCACCTAACATGCTTGTGCAAAGGTCTTCTCTTGATGTCATAAACACAACATAACTAAATCATACAAGAAAACCCACAATTCACATGGAGTGTTTTTTCTCTCTACCATTTTATTAAGTATTTTTCATTGCATATATGCTTTGATAATTTTTTTGGTATCCAACTTGGCAGAAACAGATAGCAAAGAAAAACTTTTTTAAATAAAAGACTGCTGGATTTTGGTTTTAGTTCACAGGCTGATCTTCAAAAAACAAGTACAAGACAGTATATCTTGAAGACAATGAAATGTAGTTTACCGTCATATAAACTGGTAATTTAGTCTGAGATGCTGAACTCCAGCTTACAGCACTTGTATAATGAGACATTGAATGCATTCTGCATCCTCCTACAAAGCCAGTGCAATATTTCTCTAGGTACTTGTGTAGTTGTTAGACCACACTTTCCAGAAGATGCTTATGAGCTCTTATAACACCGATCAGGAGCTAGATTTATTCTTCTAACATTCAGCTCTGTTGCAAAGGTTCTTGCCTTTTGATAAAAGAAGAGAGACTTTTCCCGATCCACAAGGAAGTTATGGTAGATTATCGCAAGTCTTGTGTAAATCTTCAGTTGAGCTTTTTTATTGCCGAGGTCCATGGCAGCAGCAAGTGCCAAATGGTAATAGCCTGCAGCATCAAAGGGGTCCTGAAATGAGACACAAAGATATTACCTGCTGTAGTACAACCAGTGTCAGAGGACATCCAAGCTCAGTTTATTAGGTCTCAAACAAGAATAAACAGATTTTGAAACTTCAGTAGGTTTTCCCACTTCATTACTTACATTCTAAATGCATAGAAATGGATTGTGGTAAAATGTGGTGTTATGAAACATTACTTAATGTAATCATTTTCTGCAGCAGTTCGTAGTATTTCTTACCTTAAGATCATAGAATATAATGTCTCCTAAGACCAAGTACACCTTCATATAATACAGTGTTTCCTCCTCAAACTCCAGAGGAGAGGAACAGAGGGACAAGGCCTTTAAATAGAAGTGTTCAGCTAGTTCACAGTGACCCAAATGATGATGGATAGCAGCCAGGCGATGGTAAGCTATTCGCTCATTTAGCTGATTTCCTAATGACATAATGTATGAGTCAGGATAAAACCAAAGAGACAAAATAGTCAAATCATCTCAAATCAGAATACATCTCTGCTATTTTTTTTTATTTCTATATGGTATTTGCTGAACTTTTATTGAATGAAACTAATTTTGCTCAAGAGATATATGGCCAAAACCCACCCTTCAAGAAAAAAAATCTACAGAATCCCCAAATTTCCTGCTATAGGATTTAAAAGCGTCTGAGATTTTCTTAAGAAATCACATATTAATCTCATTTTTAGATATAGACACCGTGTGCATACATAAAGTAATGAAAGCAAGTTAATGGGATTAAAGACTCCCCTGCCCCTCCCAGCACATACTTTACATGAAAAGTTATGACAAAAAGATAGTTCTCAGACTGATCCAAATGACCTGTCTGTGCTTGTATGGAACAGTGAGAGGGTTCTTAATCAGTTGAACAGCTCTCAAAGTTTAAGAATAGTAATTTTTGAAACTAGCTCTAGACACTCAAAAACCTCTTGAAATTGTATTATTCATCAATATTACATTTTAGCTGTCATGAGTAACATTCAGATTAGATCTAGAATCCCAGATTTAGTTCTGTGCTCTACCAGATGTTTTCCGTAGAACTTAGAGTTAGAAAAGGCAGCAATAACACTGTTCATTCTCAAACAGAAGCAAAAATAGTAATGATAGTATTGTTACAAAATCCTGGCAAGAAATCTGACTGAATTTAAAGGAAGAAAATCTTTCAAGAGTTCTGTTGTGTTTCAGAGATACCCGTCATTTATCTATAACTTAAATCGGCCTTACCTAAATTTACACTGAGCATGAGAGATGCTTTGGCATATTCCAGACTTTCCTCATAAACCTTCAGATTCACCAGCAATTCCACCAGTTTATTGTATAATCTGAGTTCTGTGGCTTTGTTGCCAGTTTGAACAGCAAGTGGAAGAGCCCTGTCCTGAAACATGTAACAGCAACTTAGGTACAGCTGAACCCCAGGATGTGCACTGACAGACTTCCATTTATGTCAAGCAACTTCTAGTTTCATTTTGATCTTTACTTATAAGATATCTTACACTCAGAAGAGGAGTTGAAACTCTCTTTCAGGAGAGGAGGTGATATCTATTAACACTATGGCAAAGTGCTTAGCTGCAGTAGGATATAAACTCATTGCTGAGAGGATCGGCTTTTGGTTCACCATTTGAACGCCAGCTATGATGGGAGGATACGTAACTGTCAATGCAGTAGAAAAACTGCACAAACCTTGTAGAAAGTCACTGCTTTCTCCTTGTCCCAAGTACCATTGAAAAATATGTCTCCAGCAGCTTCAAACAATTCCATTCCCAAATTTGGATCTCCTGTGTAGAGAGCAGCATCCTGAGCAACCTGGAAAGAAAACAGGGGATGGGGAAGAAAAGAAAATAAATCTTGGTCACTTCACGGTTAAAACAAATCATTAATACTTGCAATTGAAAAAGATCTTGTTAAGGCCTCTTTTCTCATTTTCAGATAGGAAAGGCTGTATTTGATGAGACCCTGATCTGTCTTTTTCAGTACCCTGTTATTGAACAGGCTGGTGGTGGCTGCTGAAGGAGGAACATAAGAACCCAGGCACATATAGCGTCATGGTCTCCCTTTTTCAGGCAATATTATCCTGCTACCTTAGTCAGCATGCGGCACTAAAATAGTGTATTTGACAGCTGCCACATATTAAATTTGAATTAGGTGGAATATATCATAGAAATAACTTCTAATTGCAAGTTAGATACTGCTAGCAGTGCAAATTTAAAAGCCTGTGACAAATTCCGTAAATAAATGCAGCTCCACTATTCTGGTCTGAAACAAATATATGCCATGTTAGCAAAAAGGATTTCATGAAGGGCTGCATGCATCCTCCTCAAAGCAAGAATATCAGGATAGTTAGTTATGGGACAATTAGGAAATAATATAATAGTAATGAGAAAAGGGACTTTTACATGCAGCAAGATTAAAAATCTTGCTTTGGCTTTGTGATCTTTAGTTTTCAAATTGCAATCAATTAATACAAGCCCAGCTCTACCTAAACGCAAAGGCAGTGACACTTTTCCACCTAAGGACTCTGTTGCATCATATTGTAGAAATTGTGTTTTACACGGAAGTTCAGATGTGATGACCTGCAAAAATTACTGGCTCAGTGGCCAACCTTTTAGGGGGCAGACTCCTGTTTGAGACTTTCCTCACAGGCAAGTACTGACTCTCTGCTCTAAATACCAGGTTCCATATATGCACAGTATGGAATATACATGCATGTCCCTGGCCCAATCCTCCTCTTAGAGTAAATAAAGCAGATGGAGAAAAATCATCCCACATGATGATTTGGATTTTGTATTATCAAGTGACTGTCTTGAGGGCTGTCAGCTAAAGTCATTTATTAAAAGAAATGACAGGCCTATAGCACAGTCTCTTCTTGTAAATACATGTATTCAGTCTTCCATCTTAGCAGGTGTCCAATTATTTTATTTAGGGATCATAATTTGGTACTATCAGACATTACTGTATCAGGTTCTGTATACATCCTGCAGTACAAAGCATCATTCTCCCTTATAATCGGAGAGAAGTATTTTTAACTCCTTTAGAAAAGCAAGAAACTAATTCCTCAAATACTTCAGTGAATGGCCAAGAGCTATACGGACAACAGAGTCAGATCCAGGTGGCAGTGGCGCTCTGAGAAAGGCTCTAGATCATCCAATTTCAGTAGCCACAAGGGCTAGATACCATTTTCAGGTCATCTTTCAGTCTGTGCTAGCACAGCAGCAGCAGCAAGTCCGAGTTGGTGGCAGGGGGTCTGAGGTGTGCAAGCCACATGTCTCTGGTGCCACTGTGGCAAAGGCAGCAGCAGCTCCATCTGGCTCCATGCTGTGCTGTGCACAGCCTCAGAAGGAGAGCTTTATGTGCTTTGGAAATGCTTCCTGAAGAAGCCACTCTCTTTTCCTGGGGGTCTGCCCCACAAGCTGACATGCTAAGATGTTTATTATTTGTTATCCACCAGCATGTAGCATACATGGCTTGATAGCTGTAGTACTACAGAGCTGGTAATGATGCTGAAATACACAGAATTTACAACAAAGCAGGCACTAAGAAAGGTCAGTACCAAAAAAATCTTTCCAGAGTCAAGCAACAGATTAAAGCGGAGCGCCAACTGCAAATGCTCAGTCTTTCAGCTGCTGAGCATTACATAGGTGTCATTATCAGTTAGCAAAATCTCAGGGATCTTTATATTGAATTACTCTCTTGTCATACCACTTGCTCCAAGCGCTGACAACATGTGCATGCCTCCAAGCGTTGACAACATACCTGGATATAAAGATCCACAAGCTCATTCTGCCTCAGAACATAATATATCTTTCCTGCCCGTAGCCAAGCATATGCCTCTTTCTCTTTTTTCTGCAGATCTATAAATATTCCAAGGCTTCTTTTGGTATATTCCAGAGCTGACCTGTAAGCCCTGAAAGAGGGAAAATTGCTAATTAGCAAGGGGATCTTCACATTAGAGAATGGTTTTCTTCATAGTGAGAAAAGCTTTATGTTAAAGACAAGCTGTTTCCCCTATTTACTGCAAAAATTATAATTTCTTATCTATATTACACTAGTAACTAGCAAACTGAGTCTTTTTTCTCTTCCTTTTTTTGTTTAGTTTTTGTTTCCTGTTAGATTGTTATCACATAATGTTACTTCAGGATAGCTTAGTTTAGTCCTTCCCCTACCACAGTCTTGTAACAGGTGGAAAAAATACTTCTTTGTCTTTAGCTCCTGTATAATTTATGGCTTTTTCCTAGAAACTTCAGAAAGGAATTGCATCTGTAAACATTTTTTGCTAAAATCACTTAGGCATCTGACTTAAGCACAGTTCAGACTAATCAGCAATTGCAGAAAAACTTGGAACAGTTTTGGAAGCACCTAAATTATCAGATCACTGGACAGTGCAACTTTCAAGTGTAAGGACACTGTGCCCTTAGAAGAGTAGTCATACTTTTCACTGGAAGACATATCCGATTGATTGAGCTTATGGCACTTTATACCAGACCTAGAAATCCCAGAATGATTAAATCCTTCTGTCTTGTGTTAGACTCCCATCATCTTGACCTGATGCATTTTCCTCCGAGCACAAAGAAAATATATTAAAATATAATATGAACTGGACAGTTAAAGTGAAGTTACAGAGTGCATCTTTAGAACAGCATACTTAAACCTCCAAAGAGATAAGAAACAGATCTGGAAGCAATAACTTCCCTTGTATTTTGTATTATCAAGATTTCTGTTCTGTCTCAACAAGGTATCTCGTCTTGGGGAGTGGCAGGTTTTTACCACTTTGATTCTTACAGAAATTGAAAAGACCTGTCACTCCCTTTATACTTGAGAGGAAGTGAAGATCAACTGAACAAGCCTGACATTCCAGTTTTTGCTAACAAGCAAGATGAGGAAAGGTAAGGTAGTTGAAATGGTCCAAATCAGCTCAATTACTGATTGCTACTTCTATCCCCCCCTCAGAGTTTTTGCTTTTACAGCACACAGAAGCATATACCAGCCCATAACCCAGCACAGCAGCTGGAATGGTGTCAGGCTGTTTCTCCTCACATGACCACAGTAGTTTACAATGAAAGTGGTGACACCACCACCATCACTGTTTTCATTACTTCATCTTAGACACATATCCTTGTTACTCAGGGCTGTTAACGGAAAGAATACTGTGATACTACGGTCTAATACCATGTTGTGAGTGCATACTACTATCCTATGTAACCTTATCTACTAAGGTTACACAGCCAACATCTGGGAGCCAGGCTCCTAGGATATATAAATTCCATGTACTACATGCACACAAAGCAGCAGCTTCTCCAGCTAGTGAAATCCTTCTGCAAATTCCAGGTAGTTTGTAATCTTAACCAATTCCTTTGTCTCCAATGGATGCTCACCAACTGTATCATTAAACAGCAGTTAACAAATCAAAATAAATTAGCTGATATACTAGGAAAGTTGGAGGCTTGGACTGCAGCCACTTAAAGCTAAAATAAGCATCTACGCTTTCCATAGCTGAGGATATTTTTTTCCACTCTTACTGAGGCATGCTTGAAAATACTTGAATCTAGAGTGACTCCCTGAAGTGAGATACAGTAAGAAAAAAATATCAAAGCTGTCTTAAACACTTTAAAAAATGTCTAGAGAAACCTGTAAGTTTCCCCAGCACCTGTTAGTTACTATAAATCAGCTTGTGTAGCCTGTTTTCCATTAAGCAAAGCAAAAAATATTGGTATTCTGAAAATGTATAGAAATTTCTGGAGATATACAATGCAATTTTGCATATAGGCTTTGTGCTGCTTTAAGTTTGGAAAAAAGCATTTCCTCAAAGAGAAGCACACAGAGACAATGTGATGTCTGACCTGTTTGGAATATGTTGTTTGGTTTCTAATGGAAAAATTGTTTTGTAAAATCTATCATTGCAAACAAGGCACCTGCCAGCAATAATCCTAGAGCTATAGCGGCCATCAAGAGCTGCATGGTAGACAATAGCTTTTAAAGGATTTTAAGAGTAATTTGGCTTGTGAAGTGGTGCTAATCCCCACTGAACATCTTGTCTCCTCCGAGAGATCATAGTTACGTAAAAAAACCCAACAAAACGAAAAACAACCCACCCTCAAGAAAAGTTTCCGCTACTACTGGACCCTTCAATGCCAATAAAGTGTATTGGCAAAGCAAAGAGAAAAATAATCAGTCACATTCAGTTATTGCACAAACAGATCCTTTAGCATGACAGAAAAGTTACAACCAGAATAAATGCAAAGCCATTCAGCACATCTTACCTTTCTGTTCCTAAAGACAAATAGAGCTGACTAATGGTTTCCAAAATTTGTCCCTCCAGAACTTTATTGGACATCTTCCTAGCTAAAGATAGTTGATATTCATTGTAGATGACACACTGAGCTTCATTGGGAACAACTGTACTGTAGAACTGACACAGCAGTTTAATTGCTTGTAGTTGACCTAGGAGATTGGAAATACTAACATGAATCTTGATTTTAAAATGAAAGTTAAGTTAGTTTTAAAATAATTCATTCTTACCATTTCACAAATCACAGCACAGTCAATGAATAACAATATAAAAGCCATAACAAGAAGATTCCAGTGCCAGTTTCTTCACTCCCAAAGTTAACAAAGACTAGAGGTTACTTCAAATTTGATCTCCCAAAAGAAAATAATAAAACACTCAACTGTATAAATTGCCTTAACCATGATAGTGAGAGTAAATAAATAAATAGGTCTTCTAAATACAACTATTTTATGCAAAAGTAATCCAGATTACCAGTTGTTTCTTATCTTTAAGCTCGAGTCCAGTGCTCTTCGTACTACCAACAACTATTGTAAGTATTATTGAAGATAAAAATTCCTAGACTTTTTACTGATTAAGTTGTTTAGGCTTTTCTTAGCATTTCATTTTCTCTACAATTTCTGACAAACTGAAGTACCACCAGAAAAACAAGCCAACATGGATTTATTTCTCCACCATTATGGGTCAGAGCGAAGATTTCAATCACTTCAATAGCTGTCACATAAACATTTTTATGTCCAGTTAAGAAACAACTATAACACAACTACATAACAAACATTCCTGGACAGGGCACATTTCATAACTGAAAGAAAAATATATACTTACTTTCCAGATGACTTGTCTCCATTGCAACTAAAAATGCCCATTCATAGTAAAACCTTCCTTTTTCCCTTTGAGTTCCACTAACATAGTAACATCCCAGCTGAAGGAGGACTTGGATAAAGTCTTGGCTGTGGTCCATACTTGGAAGTTTGGAGAACAGCTTCACTGCCCTGATAAAATAATGTTCTGCCAGCTTGCTGGCTGCTGCACGCAGACAGAGTGTCCCAAAATTAGCCAGGACTATAGCTTGGTTATGGGTCATATCAGTCTCTTCTGAAAGATGCAGTGCTTTGTAGTAGCTCTCAACAGCTTCTTTTGTATTGTTTGTTCTTTTCAAAGCAATAGCAAGCATGTTATAAGCACAGCCTAGTTGTTGAGGATTGCTCCATGAAGAATCTACAACAGCATTTAAAATTGCTAAAGCCACATCATATTGCCTGTAAAGAATGTGTAGCCAAGCAAGTGAAACCAAACAGTTAATAGTTTCCTCTGGCTTAGCAGAAACATCAGAGTTCAGTGCTTTCATCATGTAAACAATGGCTTTTCCATACCATTTGTGGTGGCTGTACAGTTTTGCTAAACTAAGATAGATCGTGCTGCGTAGTCCTTGCTCCTCATTAGTAAAAACAGAGGAAAGTGCTTGTATGAAGTAAGGTGCCACTTGGGATGGGAGTATTGGCCTGAGTTTCCTCAGGCCATAGAGCTTGGGAGCATTTTTGATGACCAAATCAATCATTTTCAAGGAATCTTTTAAAGTACCAGAGCTCTGGGAAGAGGCGACCTTTATGCAACTTAATACAATGTGCGGCAAACACTTTTCATTGTAGGACTCTGCTAGTTTGATATAACAGTTGTTTTGTAAACCCAAGTCATTAAGCAACAGTTGAAACCTTTCCAAGAATGGTAATGCCTCTTCACGTTGCTTGTGGGCACTGTAGTGTTTTGCCAGGAGAAAGCATGCCCTTGCCTCTGCATCTTTGTTCTGGCTCAGAATTGTCCTCTTCAGAGCATACTTCAGAATATCTGACTCCAGGTCAGCACTGCAAATGTAGTTGGGAATTCCCATGAGGAGAGCTGTAGCCTTATCAAAAACATGAGCACATTTTTCTTTGTTCTTCTGTGTCAAGTAGATAACTGTTAGATTTGTATAAAGAGCAGTTACAAGGTACAAATCGCTAAACCCTCCAGCTATTGCTCTCAACGCTTCCTCAAAATACACCCGAGCTTGGGAAAACTTCAGCTTTTTAACACTAAGCCTGCCTAAGAGAAAGCATAGCCTTGCTAGTGCCCAGGACATACCTGCTTTCTTTGCTGCTTCCCGTGCTAGTCTAAGAAAACTAACCAGTCCTTCTTCTTCAGAAAACCCATAGAACATGCTGTTGATTAATGGATAAGAAAAATCATACAGGTGCTTGAAGTTTCTCTCATACTCTTTCCTATTTAAAAAGAGTAACAACGACTCAAAGATATCAGATGCTTGATCATCATCTTGACGTATGTGGAAGCAAGGTGCTTCAGGTGGAGAAAAGATTTCCTCATCCGGAGAGCTAGCAGAATTGTTTCCTTCAGTAGCTGGCTCTTCTGCCCAAGCAGCCTCCAAATTCTTGAAGTTCTTCAGGAATTCTTCTATCTTGCCATTCTTGCTTGTAGATCCTGTGCTTGAATGCAAACATGGAGTTTCTGAAATTCAAATATAAGTTACAGATCACAACTTCATGTGTGCATACATACATGGTCTTTCATAGACCGATGAAAATGTTTATCAGTAGAAGATGCTGTTAGGAAAATATTATCTAAACCTACTGCACTTTCTTACAGTATGTTTAGGAGAGAAGCCAAAGGTGGGGAAAGGGTGAGATCAAGAAGAATCAGGGAAGAAATGTGCAGGAGGCTGAAGGAGTGGGGATAAACAGGACTTGCCACATGTAAGCATGTTGCTAATCGGTACACTTGCCTAACCAGGCCCTGTGCCTGATCCAACACTGATCCAGTTTAAGACCAACATTAATTTGAACTGGTTTGTGTCTAAGTGTATATTTTCTGTTCTCTGTGTGTGTGTATGAGCAAGAGATCTGTCAATGAACTCCTATTCTGACTAGCTGGTAAGCAGGAAGAGACCAGAATTTGGAAAGACCCAAGATCTGAATAAAGGGCCCCAAGGTCAGGTCATGGATACTGGATGGACTTATGGTTTAAGGGAACTGTGAATTTGAGCATGCATACAAACTGAACAAAGTAAGCTGATGTCCTGACAGAAATGGGGGGGGTTTTTGGGGGAAAGCGCTGAGCTAGGCAGAGCTGTTTAGGATGTTGCAAGGATGCCTGCAAAGGTCCTGTTCTCCTGTCCACATTATCTCTGTGTGGCCAACCATGCCCTTATGATGTGTAATAAGATTTCTTCTTTCAGTCAAATACCAACACTGATTCTCTGCTGACACAGATAAACTTTCTTAAAATGGCCAGGTTGTGGTAATTGATGCAGTCATTGATCTAAACTCTCCTACTACTGACAGTGTTGAGTATCTTAGAAATACATTTAAAAA